AAAATTCTTCATACACTAAATGGGAATGGTTTAAAATTCTTCATACATTAAATGGGAATGGTTTAAAATTCTTCGTACATTAAATGGGAATGGTTTAAAATTCCCAGCAAGGCTTCAAACATTTGCTGGGAATTTTAAACCATTCCCATTTAGCCTCTATAATTAAATAGGAATATTTAAAATTCCCAGCAAGGCTTCATACATCAAATGGGAATGGTTTAAAATTCCCAGCAAGCCTTAATACATGAAATGGGATGCTGCTGGACTTTCCAGCTGGGAGGTGGCTGCACTTCCCTCCCTTTAGGAAAGGCAGACTTTATTCCAGAGTCCCTGAGGCTGGAAAAGCCCCTCAGGACCCTCCAGTCCAACCTGTGACCGACTCCCACCTCGTCCCCCAGCCCAGGGGAATCCAGGGGAATCTCCACTGTGTTGTATCAAGCAGATTGACTTTATAAAGTAAATTATAACCCACTCCAAATCCAGGGGAATCTCCACTGTATTATATCAAGCAGATTGACTTTATAAACTAAATTAAACCCCACCCCAAAGCCCAGCCCTGAGGTTTCCCTGACCTGCTCCGGCGTCGCAGTCCTCGGAGGAGACGCTGTTCTCCGAGACCCTCCTGCCCAGCGCCGTCCTCCTGGGCTCCCTGGGCACCTGCTGGGGACAGAGCCACCCCCTCAGCTGCCTGGGCACCCAGGGATTGCTGGGGGTAATCCCTTAAGAGGCCCAGGTGTCACTAGCAAAGCTGCTTGGCCGGAATGAACGAGTCTGGCAGGTGACATCTTATTTAAACCCACGGAAAGTTTGATCACAGAAGGCCTGACCCTCCTTCACCCGGGGAAACACCTCCCTGGGGAGGTCACCTGGTGCCCTCTGACAGCTCTACTGGTTGGAAAGGGGCACCAGCATCGGGTTTTCAGGTGGTTCCCGCTGCACACACAAACTCTGGTCTGGATTTTTGCCACTCGCGCCATTTCTGTTGCTCAAGGTCATTTTAGGAAGATCTAAAATCAGGGGAAGGAGAACCATCCAAAATCAGCATTGATTTTCAGCCACAGAAAAAGGAACTCATAGTATATAGTAATAAAGTAATAAAAGTTATCTCAAGTTACCTGTTTTGATTTGGATAGTTCATGCATTTGGTACCAAATAATTCCCTAATTAGGTCTGATAAAGCTGAAGCTTAAGCAGGAGAGATAAATATTCCCAGATCTGCAGGATAATCACTCCCTGCCAGAGCTGGACAGGGTGTCCCTCAGCACCACACAGGCTGCCTCAAGCAGATTTTTACACTTATTTGTTGAGACCAACTCCCCAAAAATCCAAATCCCAATAAAAGACACCGTGAGAAGAAGTTTCCACAGCTTTGATAAAAGCTCCCGAGCACAGAGTTCAGTCGGACCCCACCAAGGTGGGGTTGTTTTCACAGCTGAAAAGTCAACCCCATAAAATCCTAGAAGGTGCTGGATCTTTTGTTTGCCTCCCTAGGAAGGGTTAAATCCCAGCTGGAAATTCAGACTGAGGCTGATGCAGGGAAAAAAAAGGCAGGTTTGGCAAGATGCTCCAACCACACATTTCCCCCCCTTTTCCAATGAGTTTCATATTTGCTGCTCACCAAACTGAAGGAAATTCCAAAGTTTATTTTAACACTGTGAAAAAATCAGGGCTGCTTTCCATGCAAACAGCAGCTTCACCAGGAAAGGGAAAATGCAGCTGGAAAACCTCTTTTTTTTTTTTTTCCATTAGGATGGGAAATAGTTTCTATTTCTGTGGTTTAAGGACTTTTGGTAACTTTTCTTACTGGAAAAGAGCTTTAGGTCTGACAAGTCTTTTCCTTCCACTGATGGGCTCGGGCTGGGAGTGCCTGCACTTGTAAGGACTTGCAGATTCCTCAGGAAGGGTGAAAACTGCTCTTAAATGATCCATATTCAGCCAGTGTCCCCTTCCCTGTCACCCTGAGTCAGAGTTCTTGCTGCTCAGAAATTTGTTAGAGGTCAGGGGTATTTCAATAAACCTCCAAATATTCAGTTAATCTATAAATATCTATAAATATCTATAAATACCTATAAATATCTATAAATACCTATAAATATCTATAAATACCTATAA